CCTGAAACCTTAAGAACTTAACCACTTCACCTTAACCATGGGAAAAAAACACATTGGATACATAACAGAACATCAAAATATCAGTATAATTGACCATACTAGGTCTAAGGTCTTTAAAGACTCGTATACAGTAAAATCACTAATACCAGGTTGTATTTGCCACCCCTGTGAAAAGTCCCCAGCCACTACTAAATCTTCCTAGAAACAATTAACCACCAATGCAGCCCTAGATACAGTCTAATCACCATCCCAAAGTTATTAAGGTAAGCTCCTGTTAGGTAGGGACACCCATACATGTGATAGGTCCAACCCAAATGTCCCCATAATTTTAAACTGGCACCACCTTCGAAGATCCAGAGACCCCTGACAAAAGAAACCTAATGAGCCACCAAATTAATAACAAGACACATACAGTAAGTAGACAAAGCTTGCCAAAGTTAAAAAGTAAACCCCCAAAAAATAATAAGCATAAGAAGGCCAAGTAAAAGAGTCCAGGAAGGGAGAAACCTGTCCCAACACTTGTGATGTTCTGAATGACCCTCAGACAAGGCCCTTCCGCCTCTCCTCCACCACCCCTGAGCCCCACCCCTCCAATCATTTAAGTGCTTTTTCTATAACCTCAGTAACCATGCCTAAAGTTCCACCTTTTCTGCATGCGCCAGTCATGGCGGTCCTTATCTTTGCTATGCTCCAGGCCTAAGGCTTTTTGATGCAAATATGCCGTACATACCAAGAATAGGGAATAGCGACAGCCTTCCATCTCCAAAACCTCTTATCTGGAAAAAAAACATAGAAAACTCCACATGTACTATGGAATGGAAAGGAGCATCCTAGCTTTCAGATGCACACAAGTGAAGCTCTCCTATTTCTCCCTTTGATACACATATGCTTGACTATCCAGTTTGATGTTCCTATGGTGTTTTTGGAAGATGTTTTAGGTTATACCCCTTTGTAAGAAAGAGAGCATGGACTTATAAGCAGGACTATGGAAGATGGAGATGGATTGAGAGAGCAGGGGCGGACTGACAACTCATGGGGCCCCCGGGCAATAGCGGATCAAGGGGCCCCTGTGTCCTTGCTCAAACTCAAAAAAGCCTATGAAAAAGGTAACAGGGGCATCTCATGGGGCCGCCTACTGACCTCAGGCCCTCGGGCAGTGCCTGAGTTTCCAAATGGTCAGTCCGCCCCTGATTGAGAGGCATCAGTAAGCTGGAAGAAGACCCTGCAACTGTGTCATAGGAGACCCCACTTAGAGGGCCAAGAGCATGAGACCCACTTGTGAGGTCTAAACATAAGGTGAGAGCATATAAATGTTGGTGAAGTGATACATGCATGTGGTAAAAGTATGCTTTAGAAGATTCCAAACATAATGAAAAGAAAACAGCTGAAATGGTTGGAAAGACATCAGTAACATTAATACACACGTGTGCAAGAATATATGGACATTTGGGACTTATTTGCTGATATTGATTGATTTATAAGTGTCTTTTTTATTTTGAGTTGGTTTTATGATATTAAGCACAAAGGAATATTTGTACTGTGCAGCACTAAATGATATATAATTTTTTTAAGAGGCCTGACCTGACATATAAAAATCTTTAAAGGCAAAGCATACACACATTCCTAAAGAAAATGGGACACTTGGGGTTGATTTACTAAAACTGGAGAGAGCAAAATCTGGTGCAGCTCTGCATAGAAACCAATCAGCTTCCAGATTTATTTGTTAAAGCTTAATTGGACAAGCTGAAGATAGGAGCTGATTGGCTGCTATGCAGAGCTGTACCAGATTTTGCACTCTCCAGTTTTAGTAATTCAACCCCTTTTTTTTAAGTAAGGCATATTTGTAGGCTACAGTGCATCCACACACCAATACGGTAATAACCAGTAGAAGTGTAGTTATAAATTACTGTGTGTGTCTAAAGCATCTATCAGCAACATTATTAATCACCATCATGATGATTATTATTATTATACAGGATTTATATAGCGCCAATAGTTTGCGCAGTGCTTTACAAAATGAAGGTAGACATTACAGTTACAATACAATTTGGTACAAGAGGAAACAGAGGGCCCGGCTCATTAGAGCTCACAATCTAGGAGGAGGGATTCAGTGATACAAAAGGTAATAGCTGTGGGGGGGATGAACTGATGGAGGAAATAAAAGGCAGTTTACTAGTTAGAAGCAGGATAGACTTCTTTAAACAGATAGGTTTTCATGGATCGTCTAAAGATGGATAGATTAGGAGACAGCCGGACAGATTGGGGTAGGGAGTTCCATAGGATGAGAGAAGCTCGGGAGAAGTCCTGGAGGCGAGCATGGGTGGAGGTGACACAGGAACTAGAGAGCAGAAGGTCTTGGGAGGATTGAAGAGAGCGGTTTGGTGGATATTTTGAGACCAGGTTGGTGATGTAGCTGGGGGCAGAGTTATGGATGGCTTTGTAAGTTGTTGTTAGTATTTTGAATTTTATTTGTTGGGCAAGTGGAAGCCAATGGAGAGATTGGCAGAGAGGGGTAGCAGACACTGAACGTTTGGTAAGGTGGATGAGCCTGGCAGCAGTATTCATGATGGACTGGAGGGGGGATAGCCTATGTAAAGGTAAGCCAATAAGGAGGGAGTTGCAGTAGTCGAGGCAAGAGATGACCAGGGAGTGAATTAGGAGGTTTGTGGTATCATTGTGGTATCATGTTAATTCAATATTAAACAATAGTTGTTAATCAATAGAAACCTGCAGACTAAGACTGGCCATAGATTATTCTTTTTTTTAGGCTTCCTTTTTCTCCACAGGCTCATTGAAAAAAAACAAACAAACAAGCAAACAAACAAACAAAAAAAATGGATTCCCGCATCCACACCAATGAGGTGGATAGAGGAATTCCCCCCATTATGCTAGTGTATTCTGACAAAGGGACTCCTCCCCATGTGAAATCGACAATAGAGCACCAGGCAGTCATATTAAGTCCATAATCATTTATATCTGATAACACTGTGACAACAGTAAGATATAAAAGAACCATCATGTTTTAGGGGGCAATAATCCCCCTTTATCAGAGCCTAAATGAATTAGAATGACAGTGCTCCCTATAGGACTCCTGGGAGGTGTTTTGTCATGGAAAGAACACCAAAAGTCACAATAAAAAATATGCTGGAGATCTTCATGTAGTGGATGTTTGGACAGAGTCCAATAAGAAGCCTTGTCGTTTTCATTTATCAAGCCCTGATGAAAGGGCATTGCCAGTCCATTACCAGTTCCCCAAAACACATTGGCTACCTTTAGTATATTTAGTTTTTTTACATTGTTATCAGCAATTGATTATGGACTCTTAAGACAACCACCTGGCACTCTTTTTGTCAGTGGTCACTTGGATTTCTCAATCTGGGAGGTCATTGACCCTTGGGAAGGTCCCCACTTTGTGGTAGAGCTGCTGGGCTTGAACTCAGCAGGCCCAGCCGACACCTCCTACTTAATGGATACAACATCCAAGATCAAAGTCTAGCACCTCACATCTACTTTTTTTACGACTCCAACATCTTCATACAGCTAACCATCAAAGCACACTCCTTCCACTACTACAAAAAAAAGGAGAAAGGATGTAGAAACTTTCAGTGTGCTGTACTGAAATATCGTGAAGTACAGGGGGTACAGTGGCTAAGTGGTTAGCACTTCCACCTAAAAGCACTAGGGTTCAAGGTTAAAATCCCAACCTCGGCACTACATGTATGGAGTTTGCATGTTCTCCCTGTGCCTGCATCAGTTTCCTTCTGCACTTTAAAGACATGCTGGTAGGTTAAAGCGGCGTTCCACCAACAGGGGAAATTCCACTTTAAGGATTGGTCATCCACTCCCCATTAAGGATTGACACCTTTGGGGAGCGGGGGGAGTGGGTACCCGAAATTGACAGGTACCCGCTCCCACTTCCACTGCGATCGCCTACGCGATCGGAAGCGGAAATTATCCTCCTACCCTCCCTCCCCTTTGTCTTCTGGGACACGTGACAGGTACCAGAAGATGACGGGACCATTCAGGAAGCGCAGCATTACTCACGCATGCGCAGTGGGCATCCGGCTGTGAAGCCGCAAGCAGTCACAGCCGGGTGCCCACACTGAACATACCAGCGCCTGGAATACAGGACAGCCGGTGAAAGGAGCTTCAGCAGGGGCACCGCGGGATCGTGAGACAGGTAAGTAGCTGTTTTTTAAAAGTCAGCAGCTACAGTTTTTGTGCCTGCTGACTTTAATTTTTTACAGAGTGAGTGGAACTCCGCTTTAATTGGCTCCTGTCTAAATTAGCCCTAGTATGTGTATGTATGAATGTGAGTTAGGGACCTTTGTAAGCTCCTTGAGGGCCGGGACTGCTGTGAATGTACAACAAATATGTAAAGCTCTGTGCATGGGCAGACTGACAACTCATGGGGCCCCCGGGCAATAGGGGATCATGGGGCCCCTGTGTCCTTGCCCAAACTCAAAAAAGCCTATGAAAAAGGTACCAGAGGCATCTCATGGGGCCCCCTACTGACCCCGGGCCCTCGGGCAGTGCCCGAGTTTCCAAATGGTCAGTCCGCCCCTGGATCTGTGTTAAACTGTCTGCACTATAAATGTGTAAGTGCTGTATGTATGAATTCTGTTTTTTTTTCTCTGATAATATTAATTTTCATATGTGCTATTTTTTGCATTTTTAACAATGTTTAATCTACTGAACCAGATCAACAAAAATGACTCATTAAGCTGGCGATACAAGCTTACACTTCATAAAACTTCTTTCCCAACTTCCTGTGTCACCCTAATCCTCCCTCCTTATTAGAGCATCATTTTTTTTGATTAAGTACTTTCACTTTTTTTTGCTAGGATCATCAGTTCTAGCCAGCAGTGTCACACACTCCTAGTTCTTTTCAGCTGCTTCCTTTTCGTTAATGTGACAAAGTGTGCGGTAAGCAGAAGACCTGAATGAACAAACAGTTGTCTTTCTGTACCAAGATCAACTGAGATCAACATCGCTGTCTAATGGCGTTCTCCTTTTTCTGGACCGTGGCCACCATACTTGTTCTCAGCATATTAAAAGTCAACAGTAAGTTTCTTATGAATGTATTTGTTTTAATGTCTTGTCTTTGAAACTGAAGTGTGATTTGGGTTATGTGGTGTGTTTTTAAGCTTTTCCCTATTGTATTTTATATACTGACATAAGCACACCTGTAAAAGTACGTTTATATACAAAAGTCTGATGTGCAAATTTCTCGTGTGATATGTGTGAAAAGTCAGTTTCTATTTGTTGCCTTTCCCAACATTCACTCCTAGCAGAACAAGTCAGTAAGTACATTCAACCAGAAGAACATTCACCAATAAAGAAACTAATAAGGGCGACCCCTGCACTGTATAGTGTATGGAGATCCCTGTGCTCACCACCAACAGTGTAGTAAATCAGGCAGAATTCCATTGTTTGACAAGTTTACGGGATGGAAATTTTTCAGAGATGAGGAACAGGTCACCAAAGGTAAACCATGGAGTTCAATCTTGGCAACAATGTATCAATTCTGTATAGCAGTTCACTCTCTGAAGTAGCTGATTCATTACATTGTTAGTGGTGAGCACCAGGGGCATGCCTACAGGGGTTGCAATTGCGACCCTGCCACATGCTGTAGGGGGCCTGTATGACCCCCCCCTGTATAGTGTATGGAGATCCCTGTACTCACCAGCAACAGTGTAGTAAATCAGGCAGAATTCCATTGTTTGACAAGTTTACCGGATGGAAATGTTTTAGAGATGAGGAACAGGTCACCAAAGGTAAACCATGGAGTTCAATCTCAACAACAATGTATCAATTCTGTATAGCAGTTCACTCTCTGAATTAGCTGCCTCATTACATTGTTAGTGGTGAGCACCAGGGTCATGCCTACAGGGGTTGCAATTGCGACCCTGCCACATGCTGCAGGGGGCCTGTTGGACCCCCCCTGCATGCCTGGATAGGAGGAGTGGCGGGGGACAGCTGCATATAGAGCGGGGGTCATCAACCAGCAGATCGTGATCAACCAATAGATCTTGGCCAGGTAACTGGTAGATCACGGTCACAGCTTCACAGAGCATCAAATAGAGTGCAATGCAGAGGGGCTACTTGGAACTGTAGTAGGGAGCAAGACCCTCATAAGCCAATGTCTTCTCTGTAGTGTTTCTCCTACACCCTGTCATGGTTGGTGGGTGTAGCACCTGTCAAGCATGACCCATTCAGGTGAATGGGGCCACTCTGCAAGTTCCCTGCAACCTTGTGCAGTACAGCAAACAAGAGGTTAAACAGGCAGCAATCTGTTGCTTCCTTACCATCTGCTTTAATCCCTTGGATCCCGCAGAAGCATGCAGTTATGGGGCAAAGTGGCCCCATTTATTTGAATTGGTCTTGATTGACAGGCGGTAGCACCCACCAAAAGCAACAGGGGATGTAATTTCTGCTGCTGCATATGTATACCTTTGGCTGCTGCCTCAGCAGCTAAAGGTGGTAGGGATTGGGGGCAGTAAAACCTTGACTCAACCGCAGGGTTTACAACCCACCAACTTTACATGTAAACGAGCCTTAAGAGTGCCGCTGCCTAATGCAGCTAAGGGCTCCTTCACAAGTGCAGCATTTACTGCTTCTCCTCTGCAAAGTGATCCGAGTGTGTTTAACAGGTGGGAAGTCAGCGATGGGTTGCCTCCTGGACACCTGATTTAAACCCATGACTACCGTGCAATTTATGTGATTGTGACACGGTAGTACGGCAATTAGAGGTTTAAATCAGGTGTGAAGAGGTGACACTGGACCCGGTGGTCTTCTCCCATGTTGTTCAGGTAGATCTCCACCTCTTTAAGGTCTTTCCCTGATATAGAGGAATCATTCTCTCCATTTTCCACCTGCAACCCCTGAATGGCTGATTCTCCTCTTCTCCCTCCCATAGGCATTCAGTGGCTGCAGGAGGAAAATGGAGAGATCAATTCTTCTATAAGCAGCCACTCCCGTCTCTCCTCCTATCCAGCTTCTCTCGGCTCCCCCCACCCCTTCCTATGCTCTCCGGCCCTCCATGCTCTTGGTCACCCATGCTCTCCGCCTTCGTGCTCTCTGGCCTCTGTGCTCTCTGCTCCCCCCTCTCCATGTTCTCTGGTCCATGTGCTCTCCCCCCCCCCCCATGCTCCTCACCCCCTGTACTCTCTGGCCCCTATGCTCTCTGGCACTTGAGCTCGTGGCCCCTGTGCTCCCCTCACTCCCCATGCTTTCAGGCCCCCCCCCGTGCTCTATCCCATCAACTCCCCCAAGCAGCTCTGATGGGTTCCTTCCACCCCTCTCCTGCCGGATGATGCAGGGAGTCTGTCAGGATGGAGAGCGGAGAAGGGGCTAGTAAATGGGTCATTTACCGACTCCTTCCTTTTCTTAATGGACAGCCAGTGATTGGTAAACTGTGTTTACTATGCTTCAATTTATGAATGGACAGGAAGCTCTGTACAGAGTTATTCCTGTCCATTTGTTCTGTGCAGCAGAGCATCCAGAGGAGAGCTGTGTCCTCAATCTCCTTTCTCTGTCCCAAAGATGGAACATCAGAGGTCTGTTTAGACCAGGGGCGGATTGACCATTTGGGAACTTGGGCACTGCCCGAGGGCCTGGGGTTAGTAGGGGGCCCCATGAGATGCCCCTGGTACCTTTTTCATAGGCTTTTTTGAGTTTGGGCAAGGACACAGGGGCCCCATGATCCCCCTATTGCCCGGGGGCCCCATGAGTTGTCAGTCCGCCCCTGGTTTAGACCCCTGATATTTCACCAAAGGCCCTCAATGGGGATCCTAAATAAAATGTAAGAATCTATAAAAAAAATTTATAAACATAAAAAAAACTACTGACACCAGTAGCAGAACTACCAGGGTCACAAAGGTCGCACTCCACCATCAGACTCAGAGGGAAGGGCCCTGGCCGGGGGGCTCGGTTTCCTGCATCGCGGCCCTGAAGGTTATAGTTATGCCACTGGTGAGCACAGATGCTGCTGCTTTTTTTGGCTACATTAGCCAGGGAATGACAGTTATGAACTTGGAAATGAAGAGGCACAAAATGCCTCTGCACAAAGAATTAGGCCCCTTTCAGACGGGCAGACCCATCAGCTGATCCGCCTGCTCAGCGGGGGATCTCTCTCCGCTGATCCCTGACAGGTTTGTGTCTGCTCCACTGCTGCAGAGCATACACAGACCGCTGTCTTCTTTGGGGCAGTCGGAAGGAAATGGACCACCTGTCTGTTTCCACCCGACTGCCATCCGATCCAATCCACCAGATGGATGGGAAACGGATCCCCATTGGTCTGTTTTTGGCGTACAGGATCAGAGCGGATGCCGGAGGATGCCAGTGGACACATGTCCGCTGACACCCACCGGTCCATGGAGGTCTATGGATGGTCCAATGGGGTCCACCTGAAAAACTGACAGATGGACCCAGTCAGGCCATCAGTGTGAAAGGGGCCTAAGGAGATTCATGTGCTCCCCACTGACAGTGTAATAAATCAGCTCCTGCAGAGCATGAACTTCTATACAAAATTGATACAATGTTCCAGAGATGGAACATTGTTGTTTTAGAAGTTTAAACTGAAACCCTTTGCAGATAAGCAACAGATCATCCAAGGCAAAAAACAGAGTTCAGTCTCTGCAACATTGTATCAATTTTGTATATTAGTTCACTCCCTGCAGTAGCTGATTCTTGACATTGTCAATAGTGAGCACAGATCGTGCTTGATTAGCTGCTTTCCCAGCTACAGTAACCGGGGAATGACAGCGCAGAGGAGATCAGAAAATGGATGTTCTCCAATTAAATCTCACTGAACTTGCATGACTGTAGTGCAGGAACATTTCTAAAAGTCACTGCAACTTGAGTCACATTGATTGGAATGGCAGCCACGTGCTTTCACTTCTCATGAGACCCTAACAGGACATTCACAAATGCACCTTGGTAGACAAGGGGTTAATGTAAGTGTATACCTGTAGGCCATTCCTCCCCCAAGAAGCCTGGCCAAAAAACTCCCAGTTAATATTGACCCATCATAGCTAAGTTCTGAGACACTGCCGCCATTATAACTTTGCTCCTAGCAACACAGGAGCAAACAGCATTACTTCACACCGTAAAGGATCAGAGAAGAAGCCTACAGTATGTGCATGCTGCCTCTGCCCCCTGGGTGATGTCAGTGACCTGGCTGCAGCTTTGAATGAGAAATATAATTTGTTCCTGTGATGCCAGGAGTGATCCTCTAACACAGTGGTCTCCAAACAGCAACCCGAGGGCCAGATGTGGCCCTTTGCTAGCCTTTATTGGCCCTTGGGGTATTATACCTCCAATTGATTTTAGGAACTATTTCTTCCACTGACGCCAACAGTGGGGCACTATTCCTCAAACTGGCACCTACAATGGAGCACTATTCCTCCCACTGATGCCAATGATGGGGCACTATTCCTCCCCACTGATACCAATGATGGGGCACTATTCCTCCCACTGATACCAATGATGGGACACTATTCCTCCCACTGATACCAATGATGGGACACTATTCCGCCCACTGGCACCTACAATGGAGCACTATTCCTCCCACTGATACCAATGATGGGGCACTATTCCTCCCACTGATACCAATGATGGGGCACTATTCCTCCCACTGATACCAATGATGGGGCAGTATTCCTCCCACCGATACCAATGATGGGGCACTATTCCTCCCACTGACACCAATGATGGGGCACTACTCCTCCCACTGATACCAATGATGGGGCACTATTCTTCCCACTGATACCAATAATGGGGCACTATTGCTTCCACTGCTACCAATGATGGGGCATTACTCTTCCTCTTACTAACCACCAACCCTGAGGCAATGTTTATTCTCACTGATGCTAGGCTGGGGACATTTTCTACCCCCACTGGCCACAATCCTGCCCCCCTTAAGGTTGAAGGACAGTAAACTGGACTTTTGTTTGAAAAGTTTGGAGACCCTTGCTTTAACAGCTGCAGTCTTCTGGGTCTTGGCTAGGACAGTGTGTTCAGTTAAAGCAGAACTGAAGGCATTTTACAGACTGTGAGCATGC